TTGTAACATCCCTAAAATGAGTTATTAAGGCCTATACCTAGAAATTAGTCTAGGTATATTTAACGCCCATTGTCTATAAATAATGCAGGCTTTTCAATTTTGGTATTAGTAAGTCCCATCTTTTTATTTCTTACCATTGTTAGAGTTTTGCTAACTGATCTTTTGATTTTAGGAAAAGGGTATCTATTTGTCACCAAAACATTTGTTGAAATTGTATATTGCATTGCTTTTGCTTTTACCGTATCGCCTTTTCCTCTTTAGTTGGTTTTATTATTTTTGTTTCTAAAATATTTCCTTAGGTTGTTTGGTTCACGTCATGGTCAGTTTTCTAGTTCTATATCTGAGGTTGGTTATAATGCATGCTATTATTTTTTTATTCCATGATTATCTTTAGCACTTTGTTCTCTACAGTAGCTTAGTCTTCCTGTGAATAAATGTGTACAAGCTTAAGTGGCCTTTCATTTGGCATTTTCGGTATGGACTGCCTCATCAGAACAACTTACTCCCTTCGCTTTACTTCTAACTCACCAGCCTCACTATGTACCCATCTGCTTGACATCTATTCCTGGGTTTTTGAAGGGCAGCTGGAACACCACTTTTCATCTCAGACTCAAAACTGTATATATTCTTCTACCTTTTCTACTATTCTATATTCCAGTCAACTTCCAGACAGAATATTTTATTACACAGGCCTGGAAAACCTAGGAATCATCATTAATATATCAGTCTTCCATGGTTTTCATTTTAAAATCGTGTTATGTTTACTTCCTAAATAGTTTTCAAGCCCCACCCTAGTAGGTTTCTTTCCTACAAGGAAATCCGTTTGTACTGGCTGATTTTAAGTCAACTTGACACAAATAGAGTCATTTTCGAAGCAGGTATCTCAACTGATGAATTTCCTCTATCAGATAGGTCTGTGGGAAAACCTGTCTCCAATTTTCTTCCTTCCTTCCTTCCTTCCTTCCTTCCTTCCTTCCTTCCTTCCTTCCTTCCTTCTTTCCTTTCTTCCTTTCTTTTATGTGGGAGGGTCCAACCCACTGTGGGTTATATTTAGGTGATCCTTGGTGTTATAAGAAAGCAGACTGATGCATTACCAGAGGCCCCATAGACTGTCCAGACCTCCCAACTAACACCATGGACTGTGGGAGCCCAACCCACATAGAGGGATACTCTCTCAGCCTAGACAGATGGGGGGAGGGCCTGGCCCTGCTCCAAATGATATCACAGACTTTGAAGATCCCCATGGAAGGCCTCACCCTCCCTGGGGAGCAGAAAGGGGATGGGATGGGGGTTTGTGGGGAGAACAGTGGAAGATGGGAGGGTGAGGGAATGGGATTAACATGTGACACAAGCTTGTTTCTAATTTAAATAAAAACAACATAGAAAGCAGACTGAACAAGCCAGTAGATAGCAGTCCCGCAAGGTCTCTGCATGGGTTCCCTTTCCTGGGTTCCTGCCCTGTTTGAGTTCCCTCCCTGCCTTCAAGCAGTTACAGACTATGATGTGGAACTGTACACGGAAACACACCCTTTCTTCCCAAATTACTTTCCATATGGTGTTTAATTACAGAAATCAAAACTCTAGCAAAGATACCAGTAAGCCACTATTCAGTAACAGATGATAAGCCCCATAGGCAATATAATGGAGGCACTTTCTCAGCTGAGGCTCCTCTTCTCAGACGATTATAACAAAGCAAAGTCAACAAGGATGATACCATTTATGTTTCGTAATTCCACAACTACCAAGTTGGTGATTAAAGGTGGCTTTCAGGTTAATGTCTGTTTTTACCACCATACAATAACACACTGAGAGGAGGAACCATGTGTAATTTTCATTGTAGGTGTATGTCTACTACTAAATGGCACATGGTAGGTGCACAACAAGTACTTGATTGATGATAAGTGAATTTTTGTTCGCATTATCAACTAAATGCCAACTCAAAATACAGTCTGCTAAGCTGTATAAGGACGTCAGATTCTGGCAGCTAGCGGTACATAGAAGACCCAGATAATGGATCCTCCCTTAGAACCTCCTGTCAATAGTTTGATTTTGTAGAAAAGCACACATAACGCAGACTATAGGAGGTGTGATTAGAGTTTGTAAATAAAGTTATAGCAGGCCTGACCATGCTGTTGTTTGGAAGAATATAGATGACATTGCCAGTTTGAACAAGAAAAGTCAGTTGAATATTTTAGTGGAGATTAATGCACCATCTTAGTAGAAGCATGGGAGACAGTAATGCTTAGGACAATTTGGACTCTGCAGACATGGCTCAAAAGGTTTCAGAGGAGAACAATACCAACTGCACTAGAGACCATTCTGTTGATATTTGGCATAGGCTGTGGATGTTGTTGAAAAATCTACCTGAGGCTAAATTGAAGAATTCTGCCTTAATATCATTGGCAGAGGAGATTTCAAGACAGCATAGTATAAACTGTGCCAGTATTGGAGCTCAAGAAGGCGAGAACCTTAAAGGCCTGATGCTGGATGAAATGATGGGATTGTAAACTCTGGGTAAGACCCCCTCCCAGATAATCCTGTGAAAGGAAAGGTCTAAAGGATTTCTTTGACCTAAACAGCAATGGAAGGTTTATACAATTATAGTTCAAGGAGTGGCCAAGTTCCAAGTTCAGCGAGCAGTAGTTCTCCAGGCTTTCAGGTCAAGAAAAATACAAGAGAAGGATTATGGAATCTTCTTCCACGGTTAAGAAAAGCTTTTGAGGTGAGGCATGTGGCAAGGGAGGCCTTGCCACAAGAGGCCCAGAGAAGCCATAGTATGAAGTTGTGATGGTGAAGCCTGGATTGTGACAAAGATCCCAAGATGCTGGAGACGCCACAGCCTGGGATACTTGACAAGAAGAGAAGCTACACAGGGCGTGGAACCAGTCCAAAGAAGATGAGTGTGTTTCAGTCAGCAAAACTGGATGGTGTGAGAGACATTGTCCATTCAGCCCTTCGGCATTGGGCAGGGAGGTACATAAATTGGAGTTTGACCTGCTGGGTCTGTCTTCGTTCGGCCCAGTGCTTCATTAATATGTCCCCATCCCTCCCTTTGGGAATGGTAATGTGTATTTTGTAGCACTGTATTTAGAAGTGACTGTTATTTTGATTTATGCTTTTACAGGGTTTTACAATTAAGGGATTGCCTTAATTCTCCAAGAGACAGACTTTGGATTTTTAAGTCTTGAGGCCGACTTAAAAGTCATGGGGACTTTTGGAGTTGGACTGGATGTACTTTATATTCTGATATGGTTACAAGCCTGCGGGGTCCAGGGAGTGGAATGTAGTGGCTTCTATGAGTATGGCCCCTTTGGCTCATGTATTTGTTTAGTTCGCGGTTGGTGGACTATTTGGGAAGGATTGGGAGCTGTAGCTTTGCTGGAGAGGTAAGGAAGGGCTTTGAGGTTTCAAGAAACAGGCCAGGCCCAGTCTTTGCCTGCTGCCTGTGGATCAGGGTGTAAATCTCTAGGCTACCACTCCAGTGGCATGTCTATCTGCTTTCGGCCATGATGGTTGTTGACTAAACCTCTAAAACCCCGTAAGCAAGCCCCGCCCCCGCCTCGCCCCCGCCCCCAACCACACTTAAATACTTTCTTTTATATGAGTTGCCTTCATCATGGTGTCTCTTCAGAGAAACAGAACAGTAATTAATTCTTGTGAATAGAAATAAAAACCTAATGAAATCAAAGACCTTTTCTAGGAAAAAATTCAAACCATAGCTCACAGTGTTTTGATTCTTCTACTATGGTTTTCTGGATTTATAATAAACCATGAGTAATGTTTAAATGAACCAAAATGCCTATCAGAATGTATTAGTTGATACTTGCTAAATCATGAGATGGGAACTGCTTTCTTTTGCTATGAATTCATATTCAGAGCTGCTCTTGATAGGCTTGTGTAGTAACTTGAGAAGGCAACTCCGACATCATCTTTGTCCATGTTAAAAGTATAGTACCATCACAGTTAATTCTTGATCAAAAAAAATCAGTCAGTATAACATCCTCTTCTGTAGCATACGAAACCGAATTGTATCAGGGTTTCAGAGCATTGGCCTAACCAAAAAGAAGTCTCAAAAATTATTATGAAATTTGCTAGAATTCTCCAAGAATTTAATCTGGTGTCATATTTCATATGTTATTGTGTATGCTTAACCAAAGAAAAATCTGTATACACAATTTGATGTACTTCTTGAGATTAAATACATGTTGATAAAAAAAATTACTTAGTAGACAAATTTTTTTTACTACTTTTAGATATAATAAGATGATAGTTTTAGAAAGTATATGTCTTACAAACAGTGATGTTTAGAGTGTGGAGTACACACTACCTAGCTGGCACAGACCCATCTCCAAAAGCATGCTTCTCCAAAGGTTAAGAAGTTACCTTGTTTAAAGGATACAGTGACCCATGTGCCAAATGCCACATGAAACAAGGTCACTATTATCTTAAATTGGCTGCAATATGGGGTTTTGCAGAAAACTTTGAACAACAGCCGTCAGTGAGTACTGAATCTGTAAACAATTATGTGTTTGGACACAACTTCCTCCAGGTAAAACAGTAACACGCGTATTTTAAAGTCAGGAAACCACTCTGCCTTTGTATGAGCAATAAGAACAACGCATACTTTCCTGGGTGGCAGATGAGCATTGTAAGCCCTTTACTAATCTTGCTTTTGCTGTACTTGTTGCTTTCACAATATCAATCAGACTAAGATTGCCCGAAGTCTTTGAGAAGCAGGAAATCCTGGAATTGCTAGTTTGTTGAACAGAGCTAGTCCAACTTGTTCTTCAAAGATTCTGAATCTTATTTGAGGTGATACTGTCCATATTTCCTTATTTCTCATGTAAAGACAACTATTCTTGATGCCTACTTAGTAGACTCAGGCAAATTTACTTTCCTCAAAGTGTTGATATAAATACCAGATGTTAAAATGTTATTTTATAATCACATGTTATAGAGATTCTCAGCTTAACCATATTGTTTTATATCATTTATTACAGGACAAAATGACAGGAGCTGTTAGCAATTGCCCAAATAATGAACCAAACTTTTTTAAAAAACATCCATGTGATGATGCAAAGGTAATGATAGTTTGGAATTTATCATGTGGGCTTGACTTTATACAAACTTGTTAGATAAGATAAATCTTTTTATCTTAATGACAGGATTATCACTCATCTAGTATATTATTCTGTGGTCTATTGTATGTGTCAATTTTACAGATATCCTGTTCTAAATTGATTAAAAAGTAGATAATTTGTTTTTCTACTTTCCTGTCTTACACCTTGAAAATATTAGAAACTATGAATATAAAGGCACAAATATCTCTCCCCTTCCCCACAAAAAAAAAAAAAAACTTGTGAAGGAAGTCTTGTTAAAATGATTGCACATGTAGACACACACACACACACACACACCATTTAGTTTTAGACAGTTTGAAAATTTCTTTTTAAGTATTTGTTGAAGTTTGTGCCCAAACCAACTTTAGACGGCCAATTACAATGGAAGAAAGTATCTCCAAAAGTTGATAATTTTCCCCCAAAGAAACAGAATGCTCTTAAATAGTTTTTCTACAACTCACATAGCTATTAAATACCACAGTATCACAAAACCGTAAATTCTTTTTATTTATTAACTAATTTAGCTAAAAAAAAAATTTATGTCTTGGATTACATTCTCTTCATTCTCTTACTTTGTTTTCCTACCAACCATCCTTCCAGACTCTGATTTTCAGAAATGGTTGCAAGAAAAATCACACATACCTTTCCTTGCTAGTGTTTCCAGCAGCCTTCTTCTTTGGTTACCCTGTAAAAAGTACACAGTCTTGTAATGTGTTCCCCTCACAAACGATAAAGCCACATGTACATAGTGAGCAACGACTATTTGAAAGCCAGATAATCATTAAACCAAACTATAGGCACTTCATGTTCTCTGTCCTCAGAGCCAAACACTTTCGTTCCTGTTATGCGTCAGTCATGTGATTAACAAGAATAGAGAGCTGGGGAGGAGGTGGGGATTGACTAAGTGACAGGGCTCTAGCTGTATGTTAAGTGAGAAACTAAAATTCCTTATCGCAGCCCTTTTTGATTTCTCTTTTTGTGTGGTGTGTGTGTGTGTGTGTGTGTGTGTGTGTGTGTGTGTGTGTGTGTGTATGTGTGTGTGTGTGTGTTAGGAAGCTGCCTTTCTAAATCGTGCTGCTCGCAAGCTGAAGCAATTTCTTAAAATGAATATCAGCGAAGAATTCAATGTCCACTTGCTAACCGTTTCCCAAGGCACGCAGACGCTGGTGAACTGCACAAACAAGGTGAGTGTGGGCTGTTTACTGCTAACCAAATACACACCGCTCCTGTAGGGAGCCATCACTGTCCGGTGCTCACCTGTGCTGCTGACCACTTTCAGTATCATCCAGCTCTCTTAGGGAGCCTCCGCCTTTAGAACGCTCCTCTTGCCCTGGTTACAGAGTCGGAAACCCCATTAGAGGCTGGGCCTTTGAACAATGATCGTGCTGGAGCATGGGTGATGGATTCTTTCTTACATTTCCATTACTGTTGCTTGAGCAACACACATGGGAGCATAAAGGTTCTTTGTTAGGCAGTAGGTGAGTTTGCACACACTGGCCATTAGGAAGTCCTAGGCATTCCAACACGAAGTATGAAATTCAAAGTATGCAAATATGTGAGCTAGGAGTAAGGTAAAAATGCCAAGGGCCCATGACTAAGAGTTTGAAAAGTTTAGACTATATTAATCTCCAGAGTCTCAGAGATAAAAGCAAGGGTTTTTTTTTTTTTTTTTTCCCCGCCTACTTTTTCCACGTTATATATCGTAGTACATCACTATTCGTGATGAATGGTTGGGTACATCTCACATACAAAATTCTGTCAATGCTTGCATTTTTAACAGAAAATGATGGAGTTTCTGTGTATAACCTACACATATCCAATATACTCTAGATTGCATGTAGGCTTCTTAAAATGCCCACAGCAATGTAAACGATGAATATTTAGCTGTTATGATGTGTAGTTTGAAGAACAATGACACCACAGTCCACCCATATCCTTCAAGTGTATTCAAGTCGCAGTTGTTTAAATTCAAGGATGTAGAACCTATCCATATGTACTATACCAATGGAAGTACCAATTGCATGTCTCCTATCCAAGTGTAATAATTCAGTCAAAAGAACTTTAAAAATGTTCTGAAAAGATTAATGAAAAGTTCTCCCATTATCTCTCTTCAAAATCTGTCATCTGCTCTTTGAAGTTATTTAAAATATACATGCTGGGGAATTACTTAAGGATATAACTGATAGAGATATGGATTTGTGATCTAATTAAAAAGAGATGAGGCCAGGTGATTGTGCATACACCATTAATTCAGCACTTGGGAGGAAGAGGCAGGCAGATCTCAGTGAGTTCAAGGACAGCCAGGACTGTTACACAAGAGAAATCTTGCCTCAAATAGAAAGAAAGAAAAAGAAATTACAACCCTGTCACACTGGTTTTTTGCCTCTTTGTGGCTTTAGTATCCTTATTTTTGGACAGAGGTGAAATCATCAAAGTCATTTGATTACCAAGTAACCAGGATAAAGTAAAATATGTGGAGTACTGAGCATAATATCTGGCCTAGAAAATATTCAATAACCGGTTCTTCACTAAATGAAGAATCATTCTACCATGTCACATGGATCAGAGGAAATTTGACCATCACCTTCCAGTATCTAATGTATACAAGCATCGTTCCCCATTTTTTCTATATTGTACTAGTAACATTTAAAAATTCTTACTGAGGTGAGTAAAACCAGGTTATGAGGCAAATGCCAGCCACACTTTAGTAAACACTAACTTTTCGGGATAGACTCTAAGGTACCAGTTGAGTCAGGTAAATTATCATTAAGTATTTTCAGTGTTAATTTATTTTTTTCATATAAAAAGTTCAATTAAATTACATAAATAATTTACCTTTTGTGAAAGTTGCACTCTTGTTCCAATGATGCAGGGTGAAAATGAAAGATGGAATATTCAGCATAGATGAACTGGGTTTTCCTGTCGGTCAGAAATTGTAATTATCAGCACATGTCATAGTTTTAAGATGTCATGCATGACATGTATATTAAATATTAGGCATAACCTATTATGGTGAAAAGTAAAAAGCAAATATTTTGAGACACATTTTATTAAGATATTAAATTGAATCTTATGAATTTATTTCTCTAGGAAGAAAGGAATTTAAAGGAACAGAAGAAGAATGATCCATGTTTCCTAAAGAGACTACTAAGAGAGATAAAAACTTGCTGGAATAAAATTCTGAAGGGCAGTATACAAACATAGGACATGTATTTGCAACCTCCAAATATCTACCACTTTATACATTTTGAGGAGTTGAAATCCTCCCAGAAGTTGTTGGATACCTCCTGATCAAATGACCAGAGCAACTGGGAAAAACCACACAATAAGGTACTAGAAATGGACACGAATAACACAACTCACTGCTGAAGTAAGAATTATACGTGTGGACAGTTATGAGCCGTACTGACGTAAAGCAATCATGTCACCTGCAATACTTTTCGACTCTTTCTACATATTTCAGAAGATACCAAATCCACAGCAATAAAGCCTACACGGATTCAATGTCACCATTGTTTTATTAGCCTACTGTGCCTACTGTGAATCTTCTAAAGAGTGAAACTGTCATTTCGTAAGCTGGAGATGATGGGGGCTCACAGAGATGGATATCGCTCGTGAAAACGAGTCGTATCCCAAAGCAATGGCAGCGAAACAAGCTTAAGGCGTAAAAGACAGATAACAAGTAATGTAGTTCAACATGAATGTATAACGCACATCTTCAGTAAAGAGCATAGCACATCTTTATCTTTAAATAAAAGAACTTTTAAAGATAGAAATTCACTTAGTCCAAAGATTAGTATCCAGCCACTTTTGCCATTTATGTATACTAAAGCTTGTATAGCTGAATTTTCAATTTGGGAAGTATATTTTTAAGATAATAATATATGTTAGACTTTTAATTAATGTATATATTTAATTTTGACATTATCTATATATAAACTATTTTCATACAATACTGCCAGTCGCCTACTTTGAATAGTTTCTCTTTTTAAAATAAACGACCTATGTGTTGACACTGTCAAGCTCATTAAGAATGTTCACCGCTGCATTGCCTTTGACCCTCCTTTCATTCAACACCTGCCCTTCAAAACACTAGTCCCAAGATTAAGTCCCTACAATTATTCTTTGCTTTACAATAGTAACTCATTTGTACCTCAGGCCAGCCTTGAACTTCCCTGATGCTCCTGCCTCAGCTTCCCAAGGGCTGGGATTACAGACATGAGCCAATATGCTCAGCTAGAACACCGTTTTTGTTACGTTGAATTCCTCTCTTTCTAAAGATGCCTGTGTGTATCCTGTGTATATACCTGTTTAAATCCTTTGTGGCCTGCAGTCTTCATTCATTTGTAAGGGAGAGGAAAACTACCCTGCAGAGGCAAAATTTATGAAAGAGATGACAGCTTGTCTGGGCTGACCTCACATTCTGCTGCTCTTCCCAACCACTTCAGCATGTAGCTATGTGCTAGGTGTTTCTATGTGACCTCCACATGCTCCACTGACATTCCATGTGGCGTTGCCAGGGTTACTCGCTACTCCTCTTCCGCAGCCCATGTGGAGCCCATCCGCAGTGGTACAGATAGCCAGCATTAACATAGTTTTAAGAGAAGAATTGATTGTCTAAAGTTTGATTCATAATCGCCACTTGACAAAAGGAAAAAAAAAAAGCAGTCCTCTCAAGTCATCAGGAACAAATGATACTTTAATAAATTCATTCCCTTTATCAAACTTTGCCAAGTGGGTTGTGCTTTCACGGTAAAATCCTATCTACTGAGTGGTAGTCCTCTACCTTGAAGAACTGGTAGAAAGGGTAAACCATGAGCTAGGAACTGAGGTAAAGTCTCCACCTGCAAAACATCTGTAATGCTCCTCATCAGTATTGAAAAATATTCTGATTTGTGGCAAAATAAAGGAAAAATTTTAAATGCTTATTAAAAGTTATTAAAATTTCTTCTTAGGTTTTGATCATTTATTCATGAAATATTTGAACTGTAGACAAAATTCGTGCTCTAACAGTTCATTCAACATGTGTACTAAATGCTTCATGAGTTACTCACACTGTTATGTATGCTTCACTCTACCAGCAAAGCAGATAGAGGCAAAGGAATCTGGCCATTGATCATCTTGAGTATATTTGCATTCTAATCCCACAATTATAGGCTTGTCTTTATGAATATTTTAAATCAAATATGTATGTTAATGCTTTTTAATATTTATTTAATTTAAAAAAACAATCTTATTTTACAGACCAACCCCAATTCCCTCCCATCTTCCCACTCCCCGCAACATCTCCCATTCCCACAACCCCATCGACTCCCCAGGAGGGTGATACCTCCAATGTGGAATCATCAACAATGTCAGTCACATCATTTGGGGCAGGACCAAGGCCCTCCCCACTGTGTCTAGGCCGAGCAACATATCCCTCCATAGGGAATGGGCCCCCAAAAGCCAGTTCAGGCACTAGGCATACATACTGGTTCGACTGCCAGAAGCCACATCGACTGCCCTGGCCTCCCAACTGACACTACATTCAGGGAGCCTGGTTCAGTCCTATGCTGATTCCCCAGCTGTCAGTCTGCGGTCCATGAGCTCCCCCTTGTTCATATCAGCTGTCTCTGTGGGTTTCCCCAGCCTGGTCTAGACCCCTTTACTCATTACTCCTCTCTCCCTCCAACTGGACTCCAGGAGTTCATCCCAGTGCTTAGCTGTGGGTCTCTGTTCAGGCTTTCATCAGCTACTGGATGAAGGTTCTATGATGGCAGTTAAAGTAGTCATCAATCACATTATAGGGGGAAAGCATTTAGGGTACCTTCTCTACTATTGCTTAGTTGGGGTCATCCTTGTGGGTTTCTGAGAATTTCCCTAGTGCCAGGTTTCTCATTAACCCCATGATGGCTCCCTCTATCAAGGTATCTCTCTTTCTCTCCCTCTCTGTCCTTTACCCAACTTGACCTTCCTGATCCCTCATGCCCCCCCCACCCCACCCTTCAACCCCCCTCTCTCTCTCTTGTGTCCTCTCTCCCTCCCCCATGTTCCAAATTTACTCAGGAGATCTTGTCCATTTCCCCTTCTTGGGGGGGCATGTATTTCTCTATAAGGGGCCTCCTTGTTTCCTAGCTTCTCTGGGGTTGTGGATTATAGGCTGGTTATCCTTTCTTTTGTGTCTAATACATACTTATGAGTGAATACATACTGTTTGCATTTCTGTGTCTGGGTTACCTTACTCATGACGGTTTCTTCTAGTTCCATCCATTTGCCTATGAATTTCAATATTTCATTTTTTTTCTTTTCTTTTTGGCCACTGAGTAGTACTCCATTGTGTAAATATACCACATTTCCTTTATCCATCCTTTGGTTGATGGGCATCTAGGTTTCTTGCAGGTTCTGGCTATTACAAATAATGCTATGAACATAGTTGAACAGATGTCTTTGTTGCATGGATGTGCATTCTTTGGATATATGCCAAAGAGTGGTACTACTGGGTCTTGGGGTAGATCAATTCCCAATTTTATGAGAAGCTAGCTGCCATACTGATTTCAAAAGTAGCTGTACAAGTTTTCACCCCAACAGCAATGAGGAGTGTCCCGCTTACTCCACATCCTCTCCAGCATACGTTTTCATTAGTGATTTTGGTCTTAGCCATTCTAACAGGTATAAGGTGGTATCGCAGAGTCATTTTGATTTGCATTTCTCTGATGGCTAAAGGATGCTGAACAATTCCTTAAGTGCCTTTTGGCTATTTGAGATTCCTCTATCAAGAATTCATTATTTTACCCCATTTTTAGTTGGATTATTTGGTGTGTTGGTAACTAGCTTCTTCCATTATTTGTATATTTTGGAGATCAACCCACTGTCAGACGTGGAGTTGGTGAAGATCTTTTCCCATTCTGTGGGCTGCTGTTTTGTTTACTTGATTGTGTCTTTTGCTCTGTAGAAGCTTCTCAGTTTCAGGAGGTCCCATTTATTAATTGTTGATCTCACTGTCTGTGCTACTGGTGTTATGTTCATGAAGTGGTGTTTGTAAATATTTTAAATGAGCATTTTCTAAAGCTTTTTTCCAAGAAACATTAATCCTTACCAGTGGTACAGAAAAAAATAACATCAGTGAAAATCAAAATACTATTTTAATTTTCTAAAATAATAAATAAAGATTCTAAGTTCTGAACAAACTGTGATGAACTGGAGGGTTCACAATTTATAAAAATGCATTAAATACTCTATAGTTTTATTTGTGCAACTTTAAAGTTTCACATTAAACTAACATTTTCAAAAAGCTGCTTGATTATAAATGTCATTTTTATATAAAGGCCACTAGCACAATGCAAGGCCAATGTAGTTGATACAAGGTCAAAATAATAGCAATATATTATAAAAGATCCCAATTAAATGCCTTATAAAAGTCTTCAAGGGATATACTAAATGGCATATTCTTTAGAATGAAAGTAGTTGTTAATTTGTAAATTATGTTTTGTGTGTGTTCAAATGTGTGTGAGAGCAGGTGTGTACACATATGCCTGGTGCTCTTTAGGGAGTGAATTGTCTCATGCCTTGTTTCAAAGGGAGGTTCTTTCTCTCTTGTTTGTATGCTTACTCCAGGGTAGTCTGTGAGTTTCTGGTCTACCCTTGTCTCTGCCTCCCATCTCTCCATGGGAAAACAATAGTTTACAGACACGTGCATCTGGCTTTCTATTAGGGCTCCAGGGATCCACCTCAGGCCATCAGGCTTGTGCACCAAGTACTTCTAATGACCAAGCCATCTCCCTGGCAGGGGATAATTATTTGTTAGGGAACACAAAAGATTGTATAATACACGCTCAGAATGCCAAATGATGTTTCAATGAATATATACATTGTGTTGTGTTCAAATCAAGGCAGGTGTATCTATTTCCTCAAATAATTACTTTTTCTTTTCTTTTGCTTTTCTTTTCTTTCTTCTTTTTTTCTTTTTGTTCAAATACATTCAAAATTCTGCTAGCTTTTTGAAATGTAAAGTTGTCACCATGCTGGATGACAAAGCACCAAAACTTGTTTGCTCATCCTTTCCTAGGTGTATCTTAGTACTTAATGTTTCTCCTCCCTAATTGTAACTTAGTACACAGTGACCAACCTTTCTTCATCCCAACAATTTGCTTATTGCTGAGACATGGCAACACTGAACCTGAAGTATTTCTTCTAGGCCCTGCCTTCACTTACAGATAGTGTCAAAATATCTCATCAACTTTCCCCTAAGGGTTTCCCTCAAACACATGCCCCTCTTTAAACCAAGTTGTCTTTCTCAAACTTTGTACTAGCAAAACTTTTATGTGTTGAAGTTCTTACTTAGAAATGTCCTCCAGATTCTGTGTGGACCCCTCATAATTGTTAGCACTCTGACTTCTTTCCTCCTTAATTGCTATTGGTTCCATGCTAGTCCTAGGTAATATTAATACCTTTAGTTGTTCATAGGATTTTGTTTCAAGTAATATATACTAGGAAACGATAAAATCTATCTCAGTGTTTTATTTTAAATGTAATTATTACATAAGTAATGTTTGCTTAAAATGTTCTATGACCTTTGAAAGAATGTATCGTTTTCTTTCCATCTTATTAAAACCCCTTTAAGTAATTCATATAAAGTGTTCTATAATGAAATTCATTTCCTGTGGATTGTATGTATACGATATGACGCCATTGCAAAATAACACAACATGACTGGACCAGAGTTTCCTGCTCTCAAAAATCTTGATGGCATTTTGAGTTCTAAATATTACTTCTGTGAACAATTTTCAGCTTTAATTTTGAGCCAGTAATAGAAACTATGAAACTATTGTAGCACAAAACAAACAAACAAAAACAAATAAACAAAAAAAACAGGTAGGTGCACAGAAAGCTGTCATCCAACTCCTATATCTAAAAACTTCTGCCAATGGTGATGCACATTCATTTGTCAGAGGTTGAGGCAGGAGGATTCCTTGACTCCTGGATTTTGAAGGTACCCTGGGCTATTTGCATTTTGTACTATTATTGTTTAGAGAGAGCATCCTGTGGTGGACCAGTTT